ACGCAGGCTGGAAAGCCTGCTCCACTGGAACATCTATTGGCTCCCGAGAAGAGCCACTCCCAAACTCCAGAGGCTAAGGAAGGGCAAGTTACTGCACAGCCAGCCTTGTCTACACTGTCAAACTGTGTCTGGAGACAACAAAAATAGAAAGCAAAGAAACTTCCCCTTGCTTCCTCACCTAATAAAGTAAATAACTTAGGCTAATGGTTCGAAAACCAAATCAGGGCTGGAGAGATGACTTAGCAGTTAACAGTACCTGCTGCTGTTGCAGAGGACCGGGGTTCAGCTCCCAGCACCCACATGGTGGCTTATAACTGTCTGTAACTCCAGTGGCATCTAATGCCCTCTGCTGGCCTCTGCAAGTACCAGGCATACATACACACATGATGCCCATATATACATGCAGGCAAAACACTTAGACACACAAAATAAAAATAAGTACATCTCCAAAACCCAAATGATACTTTTGTTTCACAAGACCATATACAGAATGCCCCCAGAGCACCTACTATAGCTGTCCCACGAAGGAACTGAGTCACAAGAATGCAGTCCCTTGTCTATTCACCAGGGAAAAGAACTGAGGAAAACCCTTAGCAGATTTAAGCTTCTCTCAAAGAATTAGGAATTCTTCCTCCTAGGCCCAGGCATAGCTAGGTTAGAACCTTTGCATGGTGTGTCCACAGTGTGGATTCTACTGTTATGATTTAAAAATGAGTAGCTTTCTTTTTTATTTCAATAATAGATCTCTCCTCTAGATGGTCCTTTTAAAAGCTTTGACTATCTATAATATATTGTTAGAAAAATACTCAAAAGTGGGGCTGTTAATCTCGATAGACTCTGAGCCCCTTTGCTTAGTTACTGATGTATCTCACAATAGGTTCAATCCCTACACAATACCTGGAAGCTATGGGCTTCCTACATACACCACTCAAGCTATAAACCTTACAACATTAACGGCTCAGCTTGTGCCAGGAACCAAAAATTACATGGACCATGAGCGAAACCTTTTGCGTCAAGCAATTGCATAAGAGAACAAGCTAGGTCAGTAGCTAACATCTTAAAACTTTACAAGTAAACTATGCTAACGATGCTCTACTGGAGTTTCTAGATTAGGTCACATCTGAAAAATATAAATCTGCTTAACACAGCTTGTTATTATCTTTCAAAAAATTGCTTGCTGCAAGGAGGCTAATGAAGTTAGATGCTGGGCTCTGACTGGATGGGACTCCCTAGCCAGCAAACACATCTGTTTTGCTTTAGTGATGCCTGTGAGGGTTGCCTTCCATTGGTTTTTCTTCCTTTCCTGTACTCCCTCCTCCCTCTTTACTTCCCAGTCTTGAGCCATTTTCCAGTTACAAAGAACAGTAATTTCATCCCATTACCATTAAAGTCACCGTAATCCTCAATCGGTGAAAAGTGCCGGGCACCCCCTAATTTACACCATCCCACACTTGCAGCCTGGTTACCACCAGGCAGTGTTTACATTTAACAGTGGGTGGGGGTGGTTTCTCAAAGGGGCTTGTGTTTTCCCCTTTAATTTCTACAGTGCTTAAAAAATGTCCCTCCTGGAGGTCAGGGCATAGACTAAAAAACAAATTAGGAGCGTCAAACATGGTTTCTTCTTTCTCAGAGCACACGGACACAAACCAGAAGGATCTGAATTTACAGACTCCACAAATTACACTCAGTTATACTGGGTCAGTGAGCTTCAAGCAAACCAGGGGCTTCTTCAGACCCATTTCACAAAGCCTCCACCTGCTACAACGGCCCAGTAAGAAACCACACCAATGCTGGCAGCCTGTGAAATTCAGCACTTCTGACTCCTGCTTCCTATCAGCCTCCTGCCCACCTCAGGCTATTCAGTCACGTATACACAGGATGCAGGGATGCCCCTGCAAAGAGTATGTTCTTAGGGAGGAAAGAACCTTAAAAAGGTGGTGGAGGTGATTGGGCAGCTGTCTACCTGTGAGTGCTGTCCTCATCCCCTACGAGCCGATGGTGAGTTGGTTTGCCCCAAGAATCAGGGCTGTTCACCTCTCCTATCCTTAAGCACAGAAGTCTTCATGTGTGCAAATTACCCAGTTCAGGTTTTATGTATTTTTTAACTGACTTATTTATTTTTACTTTAGTACACTGGCGTTATGCCTGCGTGTATCTTTGTGTGAGGGTGTCAGATCCCTTGGAGCTGGAGTTACAGACAGCTGTGAGCTTCCATGTGGGTGCTGGGAATTGAACCCAGGTTCTCTGGAAGAGCAGCCAGTGCTCCTAACCACTGAGTCGTCTCTCCAGCCCCCAGTTCAGGTTTTAACCTCACATTAAAATATTTTGGCAGCACACTGAATGATTTACATTTAATAGTTTTTCTTATTTTGGTTAAAGGCTTTCATGTTGCTCATGCTGGCCTTGACTTGATACACAGGTGAAAATGACCTTGAATTCCTGTTCCTCCAGCAGCTACCTCTGGGATTACAGGTATGTGCTATACCCCTCTTGGCTAATTTCTTATTATTAATCTTTATATAGTTGCTATTCAATATTGATGAGTTATGCTTCTATAGATTCAATCGACTCTGCATGGGAAAGATATTGAGAAAGTTTACATCTCTATAGAACATTTACAGACTTTCATCACTATTCCATGTACAGTTCAAAGTGTGAACTACATATATGATGCTTGCCTTCTGTGTGTATAAATTTAAACTATACAGCATTGATGTAAGCAGGGTGACATTCTGTCATAACTACTTGATCATCCAGGATTTTGGAAACTGAGAGGTAAGGTAACTAATGGTTGACTATAAGTATCTATCACTCCCCTAAAATCCCATCATAGTAAAATTTTCCATTTACTGTATAGAAATCTGTTTGTGGCAGTAACCAAATAAGTTCTTAGACCCCACTTGTTAGGAGAAAATAACCTTAGCAATCTGGCTGTAATCAAAGGGAACTGAACAGGGAACCATGCTTAGTATACACGTATGTGCATATGTGCACACATATACACACGTGTGCACACACACAGTTCTTCATGCTGCAGAACACAAAAGCATTGATACACTTTGAATGACTGCCAATGTGAGAGCAAGTACGGAGGCTCCTTATTTGGGCGAGTTAGATGTGGGAAAACCCCTTCTATAAAGAAATAGTGGTTCGGAGACCGGCCTGAGGAGGTGAGGTGGAGACAGTAAAACAACTGGAGGACAGCTTTGAGATGCAGGGCACTACAGAAAACTCACAGAGCAGGAGCAAAAGTGTTTTAATGCCACAGTGAAAATGCTGACTAGCAAATGTTGAGTGGATGCAGAGGAGAAAACATTACCAAGAGGAGAGGCTGTCGGGTGTTCTGTGACTGGCATAGGTGAGGGGGAGCCTGTGACTTAGACAGGAGATGCACAGGTGTCATTGTGTCTAGTGTCTCACATTCAGTTGTGGAGATTAATTGGTGTGAAGAAATTATTATGACATCAATTACAAAAGAGACCTTTGCTGACGTGAACGGAACAGGGACTCTCAGATGAAGGCAATGATAGCAGATGAAGAGGCTGGACGCAGGCTGAACCGGCAATCCCAGCCCGCTTTGGTGAGATTCTGCCGATTGAAGGAGGGTGCTGCCTGTTAATTTTGCTTCAAAGTAGGGTAAGAAACACCCATCAATAGTGCTTTCTCAGGCTCAAGTTATAATAATGATAATAATAATAATAATAATAATAATAATAAATAATCACCCAAACCTAGTTAGCCTCACGTCACTTAGACCTAACAAATAATAATTAAGATAATAATTACAGTAAAAATAATATATTCACAGAATGGACAAAGTACGTGTAATTCCTAAGTGATGCAGCATGTTCTATGACCTTGGGCAGTTACTCTGGGCATGCAGTTCCCCATGCTCATGTGGGGTTGGTCCATAACATGACTTGGCATGTTGCCTGTGTTGGTGGTGTTCCTCATATAGAAGAGATACACTAACTGTGTCCATGTTCACAATAGAATACAACCCAGCCACAAGAAGGAATGAAATCTCAACACAGGCTACAGTATCATGGGACCTTGTCAAGATCATGCCTACTGAAACAAGCCAGACACAGAGAGATGGATATTGCACATTTCCACGTAGGTACCAAGTATAACCAAGCTGTAGGGGCGTTAAGAAGGAGGCTTCTGGGGCCTGGGGAAGGGGAAATCGAGGGTCAGCACTCAGTGAGCACACCATCAAGGTTGAGAAGGATGAAAGTGCAAGTTTCCCCAGTATAAATGGGTGACTGTCCCATAACACCGGGAGTGAAGTTTATGTCCTGAATTTTACATTTAGAAGTTACTACAGTGAGTGCCATTCATTTCTTTACATCAGCACCAGAAAGTGCTTATTCACTTTATTTAAGGCATAACTAATGAGTAAATTATGTTTACCTCAGATCACTGAAAGTGTGTCTAAACCATTTTAATCTTCAAGCCCATGTGTGTTTTTAATGGCATCAGTGACAAATGCAGCTTATTAAAGTGTTAAAGCTGATAATGAGAGTGATCAAGCATTCATGTTGGCTCTGAAAGGCAGGTTCTTTAGGCTAGGGAGATGACTCAGTGAGTAAGGTTCTCGCTGTGCAAGTGTGAGACCCTGAGTTTGAATCTCCAGACCACAGGGAAAGCCAGTGTCATGGGGAATGTACTTCTTTGTATGTTTATCTGATTGTTGAATAAAATACTGTTAGGCCAATGGCAAGCAAGGACTAGGAGTCAAAGAGGATTCTGGGAAATGTAGTAGAGAAGGGATGATCCAGGCAGGAAATGACATGGCAAGGAGACTCGTATCTAAGGGAGGAAACAGGAAGTATGCCCTCTTTCCCCTCTGCTCCTGCGGCACAATGTGATTCACCGGCAAGGAGGGACACCATTAAGGCGTCCCCTAAGATAAGTCTTATAACATATATAGATTTATGATAATTAAGACTGAGCTAACAGATGAGAATCCTAGTCATTGGCCAAGCAGCTTTGAACCTAATACAAGTTTCTGTGTATTCATTTGGGCCCTAACTCGGGCAGGCAGCTGGCTTAAAGCTCACACGTGGTGGTGGGGCTCAGGCGGCTTTTAGTAGAAAGATTTATCGTAACACCAGTGTGATAGTGTAGGCACTGGATCACTGTACCCATGTGGTAAACAAGGTAGAGACAAGGCAATCTCTGGCTCATGTGCCCCACTAGCCATGTGTACACACACACACACACACACACACACACACACACACACACACACACACACCATTATCTTTATTGCTATTGTTTGAAAATTAGTGACATTCATGTGAATAGTTTGTCCACATAATTTACATATGTTTTCAAAACTATCATCAAAACATACTCTATGTCAATTTCAACATCAGCTCAACTGTGCTCTTAAGTCCTATACTCTCCAACTCTGCCATGTTCCCTCCCTGAGATCCTGGACTCAGGAGAAAAAAAGGTGACCAAGCATGACTAACCTCTCCCCTAACCCACACATTTATCACATATTAAATTATCTGAAGTTATAGCACTGTGGAATATTAGTATAAGACGTGTTGCATTTGTTTAGGTTGTGGGGCATTTGTTTAATGATGCTAAGATTTGTTGCCTTCTTTTATGTTGCATTTGTTTAGGTTGTGGGACATTTGTTTAATGATGCTAAGATTTGTTGCCTTCTTTAATGTAGCATTTGTTTAACTCTGTGAAGCTGTGTTACTTTGCCTGCCTCAAACAGCTGACTGGTCCAATAAGCTGAATGGCCAATGGCTAGGCAGGAGAGGGACTGGCGGGGCTGCCAAGGAGAGAGAGTAAATAGTAGGAGTAAAAGAGAAGAGGGGGAGTCAGAAAAGGAGGAGAGGAGGATGCCAGGGGCCAGCCACACAGCAACACAGCCAACCATGGAGCAAGAAAGAAAGTAAGATGTATAGAATAAAGAAAGGTAAAAGCCCTGAGGCAAAAGGTAGATGGGATAATTTAAGAAACATTGTCTAGAAACAAGCCAAGCTAAGGCTGGGATTTCATTAGTAAAAATAAGTCTCTGGGTATTTATTTGGAAGCAAAGAGCAAAGAGTTATAAAACAACAACAACATTTTGGTGCTCAATGTGGGGCCATATTTCAATGTAGAATATGAGAAAACTGAAAATAAAAAAAAAATATGGCTCTTTTAAGAAGTTCTGGGTCACAGCAAAGCACTTAAACAGCCCTTTTTCATGCAAAATAGAAACAAAAAAACTAAGTAAAAATCACCTGCCATAGTGCAGGGCCCTGGCATTCCAGAACTGGGGGGAGTTGAATGCAGTTCTCGGTCCAATATACCTCTGACCACGTGCATGAGCTTTAGGCTGGGCTTTCACAACCAGACAAGTGGATGGAGCTAGCCACCAAAGCTGCAGAAGAGGTCTTGGCATAATCGCTTAAAGGCTCATGTGGTCCAAAAGGCTAAAAGATAGCAGTATAAGAGGTCGGGATGGAAAGACCTCTAAACAAGTTATAGTGTGTTTAACAATGTACATGGTCTTAAGAAAAGAGGAAGGGTATAGACAGCTATAAAAATAGTTTAAAAATAATAAAGTCTTTAAAGAGAGAGTAAAATAATATAAAAGAAAAAAATCCATGTAAGATGGGAAATACTCTGGGAGTCTGGATCTTGTATGTTATTGTGTTGATTTTGAATGTTTTTGATTGCTGATAAGCAAATGACAGCTGTTGAGAGACATGGGATTGAAAGAGCAGCAGCTGAAATAAGCCAGCCTAGACATTTTAAGAATGCCTTAACTTTCAATGGAACTCAAAAATTTCATTGCTTTGGAGAAGAGGTTTTGCTTTTAATTCCACAGGAAATGAGAGGATTCCTTCAAGGTTGAAATGGATGAGGTTTGACTCGGGGAGACCTCCTGAATCTTGACAGATGATATATATCAACAAATATTACAGCTGGTCTTCCGAGGACTCGGCCATTACCTCAATTTTCTAGGAACTTCTAAAGATGCCTTTGCCTACAGACAAGAGGAAGCAATCTAGAGAAAACAATGCCAACATTCCCAAGTGTTGGGGTATGGGTGTTTTTGGTTATTTTGTGGGTTATGGATGTTTGTTATCATTTAGGGAAATATAGGAACATAGGATAAAAAGGCAACTATTAATCTCAGATATTTTGCATTGTCATGAATTTTGGTAACTGATGCAAATTTAATGTTATTTTTCTTAAACTGTACATATGTTACATATGTTCTACTCTTATTTGGGATATTGTGCTTATGCAGCTCATTAAAAATGCAACATATAATTAAGAAATGAACCTAGTAGTTAATCTATAATAATTAAACTTGTAGTCACATTAGGTGTGTTTTCCAGGTTAAATAGGTATACGTTAGACAGATGATTTTCAAACACTTCAAAGACCTACAGAATATGGCATTTAAGATGCTTAGTAACCTAAAGTTTTTCATGACAATGAGACACATCTGCTCCTGGCAGCACCAATTTATTTCAGAGAAGACAATGGGTATGGAAGAAACTCCTTATGGAGTTTGCTTTCAATATGACAAGACTAGCTATTTGGGCAAGAAACTGTTCTTACCTTGACTGCCCTCAGTATGCTGTACAGACTGGACAATCAGGACACAAAGGAAAAAGGATGTTGAACTTTGCCAAGACAAAGCAGGAGAGTCCTTTGAATTTCCTACATCACTGAAAAGTCTGCCAGGTACTCTAAGCCTGTAGGCCAAAGATGGATGCCCCAATCTTGCTGAGGAACTTTGAGCAACTCTCCAGGCAGCCAGATTTTTCTGTTGCTAGGTGATATTAAATCCTTCTGGAGTCTTTGATGGAGTTTAAGATTAAATAATTAGCATTATAGTTTTCCTTAGTTATGCTAGAAAGCAAAATAGGCATAAAACTTTGGTATCACTATGATATCGTAGTCTTTTCTCTGAATTTGCTAAATACAAATGGACTGAATATTGCCTGTAATTCTTACTTGATAACTGTTTTTTGTTGTATATAGTTTAAAACCTTTCATTTATGTTTAGACAAAAGGGGGAAGCGCTGTGGAATATTAGTTTAAGATGTGTTACCTTTGCTTATGCTTTGGAATACTTGTTTGGTGGTGCTAACATGTGTTGCATTCTTTTATGTTGCATTTGTTTAACTCTACGAAGCTGTAGAGTTACTTTGCCTGCCTAAAACACCCAATTGGTTTAATCAAGAGCTGAATGGCCAATAGCTAGGCAGGAGAGGGATGGGCGGAGCTGCCATGCAGAGAGAATAAGTAGAAGGAGAAAAAGAGAAGAGGGGGAGTGAGAAAAGGAGGAGAGGAAGATGCCAGGGGCCAGCCTCACAGCCAGCATGGAGTCAGAAGGAAAAAAAGATATAGAATAAAGTAAGGCAAAAGACCAGAGGTAGATGGGGATAATTTAAGTTAAGAAAAGTTATCTAGAAACAAGTCAAGCTAAGGCAGGGAATTTACAAATAAGAATAGGTCTCTATTTATTTGGGAGTTGGGTGGCAGGCCCCCGAAGAGCAAAGAATTTAAAAAAAAACAAAACAACTGACATTACAGCTTGTTTCGTATTGTATTTATTTTTAAAAGTTTGTTTTTATTTTATGCATATTACTATTTTCCTGCATGCAATACACTGTGTATGTGCTTGGTGCCCACACGAGGCCAGAAGAGGTCACCCGATTGTCTGGAACAGGATTTATGGATGTTGTGAGCTACTATGTGCATGCTGGGAACCAGATTCAGGGCTTCTCAAAAGCAGCCACCTCTGAAGCCCCTTACTAATAACTGTAAATCAATCAGACACTTAGTATCTTCTGCTGCTGTTTTGTTTTGTTTTGTTTTGTTTTTCCATTAGCTTCACCATCAGCCACTAGCTCACATACGGCAGGGCCACTTCCCTCTGAATACAAAAACAATCCTCATAAAACTATATTTTAAAACAATTGAACAACTAAGGTAAACATTTAAACAGACTGTCCTAGCTCAGGCTGCTTCAACCTTATCATTTTTGTATTTAACCTTACTCTGGTACAAAATTTAACTGTTTTCATATATATTTAATGACTTCAAAAGCATTCGATACTTTATTAAGAAATGGGCTTTGTGTGGGGAGATTCTTCCTGACTGTTGGCTAATGCAGGTGGTGAGCGTGCTAAGGTAGGGAAGGTTCAACCACGGTGTTCTTAGGGTAAGTGTCCCCGCTGCCTGGTTGGCTTGGGATATTTTCAGCCAAATTTACAGCTTTATTAGGAAATAACTTCATCACAAGTCAAGGAGCATCTGTGTCTGTTTCTCAAGAGGCATACAGTGGAGAGCAGGGAGTCAAGTGGGTTTTTGGAGTACAGTTGCCGAGAGACTGTGTTTCAGGCACAATGCCATTCAGTGACTGCCATTGGGTTGCCTTGGGTTGCCATAACAATGGGCTACAGGGTGTGGCTCACACAACAGAAGGTTCTTTTCTTACAGGCATGGACGGTGGGAATCTACCACCAAAGGATGGTCGGGGCAGGGTGTTTCCTGATGCCCTTCCCCTGGTTTGCACGTTGCTGTGTCTGTGCATGTCCCAACCTCACCTTCCTCTAAGGGTTTGGTCCTTTCAATCATAAGGATACTGGGACCTTTGCTGCTGGACTTTTCTTGTCCCACCTGCTCCTGCTGCTACTTCAGCCCCAAATTAACACACAGATGACATATTAATTATTAAACCATTGGCCGCTGGCTAGGGCTTCTTATTGGCTAGCTCTATCTTAATTATTAACCCATAACTACTAATCTACATATTTCTACATGGCCTTATCTTACCAGAGAATGTCTGTGCATCCTGTCTTCCTGGTCTCTACATGGAGTCTCCTCGCATGCCCTCTGCCTCTCTTCCCAGTGTTACCCTCGTCTCCTAGCCCCACCTATCTTCCTGCTTTTATTGGCTAAACAGTCTTTTATCCATATAAGATAAACATATAAGAGAAACATATACACAGAAGGATAGCCCCCATCAGACCTTTCAACTTAATTATCCTTTTATAGACTCTGCAATGCAGTCACAATGTGAGGTAGCACAGTTATGACATCCACACCTGATTTTGAAGGCACCCAACCAGAACACTCCCGTAAAGGACAGAGTATAGGGACACTGCCTGCTGCTTCATTTGTACCAGCTCAGTTTGTAACCTCTCCATGCAGCTGCCCCCTGATTCTGAGGCACCATAGCCCAGCCACTGCTTCTGGGCCCTAACAAGCACCACACCTGCAGTGGATGGCACAGGCTGAATTATCAGATACTTAGTATCTTCTGCTGCTGTTTTGTTACATAGGCCTACTGCTCCAGAGTATGCAGATACAAGCTTTGACCACCAGCACAGCAATGCTGGCTCTCTGGCACAGTGCGGCTGGGTGCACTGTCCAGTGACAGGTGCCAATCACAGATTTGAATGAGGTTCATTGTGCTGCTGGAAAAGCAGACTGGGGGCACAGGCTAGGAAATGTTCCTAGGTGACCAGGTACATAAAAGTACGGACTCTGCTTTTCTCTTTCCTGAGAAAATGAAACACATTTCAAAACCCTCTGGAAGGCTTTGATTTCGGTGTGTGTTAGGCTGAGCTAAGTGGCTTTAAACTCCGCTCCGCCGCTCCAACGGTGCTGAGGACTTCAGCTGCAGGGATCTGTGACTCACATTCATTGGGAATTCTGATAAGCTCTGCAGACGTCTTTAAAATGTTTTTAGTCTATCTGTGTGAGCACCGGCCCTGCGGCAGCTCTCCTTTTATCTTCCAGCTTCAAAGTTAATTTTGAAATGAAGGTTTGCTTTGCTACAGAATTCTGAAAGTTTGATACTGTCAGGGACAATGGGTTGACGTTTGTGGAAATGCATTTCAGACTCTGGAAGAACTTGCATTTGCAAGACACATCCTCCCCCTTGGCAGGAGGCTGGGAACCTGAAAGAAGACATTGCGTTCACTCTGCTCACGAGATCCTGGCTTGCTCCTACTCAGGGACACACCAGCAAGTCAAGCCTTTGATTATTAATCACCAAGGCCAGTTTTCCAAGGACTTTACATAGCTGTGTCAATCTGAGGTGAGTATCTCCTTTGTGGCAACAGAAAGAACCCAATTTGGCATCAGGCACATTAGGAAAGGAGTCTTGAGTTTTGGGTGGCAACTGAAGGTCACCTAACTTCTGGGGAAGGGAAGGTACTGTTATCTACCCCACCGCTGCCTGGTCAGCTTCCAAGGTGAAACGTTGCTTATCCTAAAATTGCTCTAAAGGCAATTCCGGCTGTGGAAAACGTTTTCAAAAATGAATCCTGAAACTATATTGGCATTTATATGAAAAGACAGTCTGTCCTTCGCCCATAGCACATTTATGATGTTTGAAATGCTAATCATAGCACTAAGACATAAACTTTTTAATAATTAAAGCTGAGATCTACCAGCATGTGACAAGGGCTGGGTACATTCACTTTTGGTGGAGTACAGAATAAGATGGACAGGTTCACGGGACCATAGTGCATTGCTTTTTAAAGGGGGAAAGGTATATGTTGGCGTGTCAAGAGTTGCATGGTATACTTCCTAAGTGTAGGGAGGGTTGACAGGAGGGAGTTCAACTACAGAGACCAGCAAACCGGCCACCTCAACAAGACTATGTAGCCTTTGATCTGGGAGGCACATTTAGACCTAAAAGTAAATCAGAGTCCTACTTAGTGATTTAAAATAAATGGTTATACATCCCCAAAGGACATAGCAAAAAGCAAACAAATGGATGCATAAGACAGGGTTATAACCTTTCAGAGACTCTTAGGACAGACACTGTCAATGGCCCTGCCAGATAAAATGCTCCATCACGTTGAATGTCCCTGTCTGCTTGTAGATCTGTGTTCTATACAATGAATAACCTCACTTGGTTTTGTGGATTTTATCTAGTTCTTGCTTGACACAAGATATTCTTTTTGTCCGGGCATGTTCCCAAATCAGTTCCAAATCAGGGCTGTGGACTTTCCTTCAGGACTAGGCAAAAAGCCTCATGTGTAGAGTCACAAGGTGAGGTGTCTCTGCAGAAAGACTCACTAAACATCGGACTGCTGTGGGATTTGGCAAGTCACTTCAATTATCCAGACTCTCACTTCCCAGTTATCAGAATAAGCTATAAAGACCTCCATTTTAGCCAGGTGTGGTGGTGCACACCTGTAATGCCAGCTCTCAGGAGGCTGAGGCATGGGAGTTACAAGCTGAATGCCAGTCTAGGTTATGTGGCAAGATTCTATGCCCAATAAACACAGACACAGACCCAATCTTGTTTATTCTACCTGAAACTGTGAAGGATCCAAGATGCTGGCCATCTTTCAAAGGTAACACATGAGCCTGTTATTTCCATGGTTTCTGGCCAAAGATGAGAGATGCCTGCACCTCACTGACACAGTTTTCAATCCTGACAGCACAGCAAAGGGTAGGATCTTCATCTTCCTATCTGCTCCTCTGACCCAATGACCCAAAGGAACGTCACTGAGACTTCCACATGGATTAGATGTATCAAGATCCTCTGTGCTACACCAGCCCAAAAATCACAGAAGAGGGCAAACTAGCTTGCCTTCTGCTCCAGAGGGAGCCACCATCTTGTCGCAGGCAGAATCAAAATTCTCTCGTGCTCCAGAGAGAGACACTGTTTAGTTCCCAAAACTGTTCACCATACAAACACCCCTAAAATCTTTCCTGCACTAAGGCCATTAGTGCCTGTCTTACTTAGGGTTACTATTCTATGAAGAGACACCATGACCATGGCAACTCCTATACAGAAAACCATTTAATTGGGATGGCTGGCTTTCAGTTTCAGAGGTTTAGTCCGTTACCATCATGACAAGAAGCATGGTGGTGTGCACACAGACATGGTGCTGGAGCTGAGAGCCCTACACCATGCCGCCACTGGAAGTCAACTGACTGTCACACCAAGTGAAGCTTGAGAAAAAGACCTCCCAGTTCGCCCCCACAGTGACACACTTCCTCCAACAAGACCACACCTCCTAAGAGTGCCACTCCCTCTGGGGAGCCATTTTCTTTCAAACCACCATGGTGTCTCTGATTGCAAGGTGTGTCCAAGAAAAACAAAAGAATCACAAGTATACAATAATTAACCAAGAATTGCAGCCTGTGTTCTTGCCATTCAGAAACCATAAATTTCCCGTTGTCCCTAGACTCATGATGGAAAGCACAGAGCGTGAGGAATGGGTTTCCACCTGGTCTCCCTGTCAATCACTCTTCATCCTCCAAGCTTCAAATTAGAGATAATCAAGTTTCTTCCCAGATCGAAGCTCTGATTCAGACAGTACTTAAGGAATGTGGACACATCGATGACAGGATCAGACAGAAATCTCAGCCCATTTTCTCAGTAGTCATTTGACTTTAGATACCGCCTTTAATTCAGGTCCCGGCACACTGGACATAGTCGGCTGCCTTCTCCAACATATCTTCCCTCCTCCCTGTCAAGGGTGGATCATTTTTCTTGCCTTTTTTTCCCATTAGTGCTGTCAGGATGGTTCTAAGGTCACAGCAGAAGACAGCAGAAGGCACACAGACTTTCCGGTGCTGGCCACACTGACCCCCTGCAGACTCCTCCAGCTCCAGCAGCCACTAACACTGGTGCCCTTGTCACAGGTGACGAACATATGCTCTGTGCTATCAGAAGCCACGTTCAGATCAGGGCGTGGTCTTGGTGGGGACCATTTTGGGAGTCGTCATCACTGTGCACACACACATGTCCACCCTTGAAGTTTCCCATGTAATCTCATGAATATCCTCTCTTTTCCTAACTTTCCCTCCCCACCCCCGAGTCCCCGGCTACCACACAAATTTGTATTGGTTCCTGTTTCCCACAGCATCAGCATAACCAGGTATCTTTCTCTTAGTCATGTGCATCTAAGTTTCCCATGTCCCCGTGGCTTGGGTGCCCATTTCTTCTGAGCACTGAACACGGCTGCTCCATCTGAAGGGACCACAGTTTCTTTATCCATCCACCTACCGAGAGGCATTCTTGCTGCTTCTAAATTGGGCAATTATGAATAAACCTGCTAGAAAGATCCATATGCAGGTTTTTACATGGACATCCTTCTTCAGGTCTTCTGGGTAAATAGCACACAGCATGCTTGCTGGGCTGTACAGTGAGAGCAGCCTGCCCTCCACAACGGCTACACCATTTTATCTTCTCATTGGCTCATGCTCAGGGACATGTTTCTGGTAGATAAAGATGAGCTCAAAATCCACTGCAGGGATTCTCAGCCAGCAACAGCAGCATCGCCCTAGAGCCTGTGAGTCCTGAGCATACCCTTTGCCTTTCTTATCTTGTCTCAAGTGTTAATGCTCAAGAAAGAACACTTTATGTTAAACACTCCTGGAAAACAGCAGTTGTTAGTTGTTATTACTATTAGCATTTAAAGGGCCTAAGTGACTGAAAGAAATTTTATTCTACACTCAGGAAAGTCAGGAAAGTCCCTCTGCTAAATATGAACAAAGCTTGTGTGCTCCCTAGGGCCACTCAGCACCATGAAAAAGACCAGGCCCTGTTTGCAGTGGAAGCCCATGAAACTCCATCCCTGGGCATACACTTGAGTCACTAAGTAAATCAGAGCCTATTGATATTATCCTTACTGATTAGCCATTTGAACTGAGTTATTAATTGCAGCTCAAACATCCTAATTCATTTGTAAAATCTCTGTCTATTCACTTTTGCTTGCTTTAAATCTACCTTGTCTCCCCAACAGTGTTAACTGAAACAGTGAATAAAATAAACCTCAGTTCCCTTCAGTTGTTTCTGTCAAGTGTTTGTCAGGGGGAGGAGGAGAGTGACTGACCCTGAGGGCCTGTGAGCTCAGCTGTGATGTCCCATCTGCTTTCCTGGGGGCTGATGAGGAGTTGGGGGACCCTGTACTCCCATCACTCAGCATCCAGAGGGAACAGGGATCATTCTCCTTGAATGATTCTGAGAAGAAAAGGAATCTCCCCTAGAAGTTCCCTCAGCCCCACAGTTCTGACAATTCCGTGAATTAAATGTTACTTAATTATTTTATAATCAATATAGTCAATTAAATGCTACAAGACTTAACATATTAAGTATAAAATGTAACCAAAAATGCCCAATGAAAACTTGGAAGAGATCGTCTAAGAATAGAAAGTAAAAAAAAATAACTATGGAAATCTCAAAAAACTTAATGACTCCATTGGAGGAATAACTGTCTCTCTGGTTATTGACACAAAGAAAATTAATATTTACTAGATGGTTCAGATTTTAGTGGTTGTTTACTAACACATCAACATATCTGAGCAACACTGAATAATATAATTGTCACATTTAACTACAGGAATCTTTCTCTGTTACGATGAGACACAAGGTCAAAGTTAAATGTCTGGGTGAGGTGACATACTTTTCAGAAAACTTCTCTTACATTCTAAGACTGGAACTTCTGCTAGTCCTCACAGGGCAGGTTAATAATGCACCCTGAGGTCACTTAACTTCAGACTGCTATCCTATTGTACTCCCTGTAGCCTATTTGTTTAACCTGCCTTTAAGCAAACAATGTAACAATCAGCCTTACCTGCCTGGATTTCCCATGCAATCAGCTTTCACAACCTAAGCTAATGCATCGCTGTATTCTTAAATTAGGAGCTCTTCCGTGCCCCTGACCAGGATAATGCATGTGTATCATCTGATGAAAACAGCTGATGCAGAATTTGAAAGCAACTTCCTCAAACCCAACATAAAGATTGAAAACAACCATTTATGGATATTGGTGAATAAGTGATGTTGTCTGTTGTCTGGGTCAGCTGGGATCAGCTGGAGTCGGCACGTAATTGATACAAAACTCTGTTAAAGATTTCTGTAAAATATCCCATTCCTTCCCCCTGTGATGTTTCTATGCTATCCAAGAAGACAGAGCATAGTGCCTTGTTAGGGACAGACACACAGACAAACAAAGACAAAAACAGACAGCTACACTGAAGGACAAATACAGACACAAGGACAAACAGAGTCACAGGACAGCCTCAGACAGGCCCAGATTCAGGCTCACAGCAGACAAAGGATGGAAGACATGGGGAGCAGGAAGTAGAGAATTCAAATCTGGACTTGCTCTTGGGTGAACAGTTCCAAGGGGAAGTGTTTCTGTTCCTGCTTCCGCGTCTGCGTTTTCTTTCCCTAATGCAATACGGGCACGTCAGCAGTAACTCAGAGTTAATCACTTATGTGTGCAATCCCAGCAGCTGGGTGAGGCGGTGTATTTAGAAACAGCAGACAAGTGACTAATAACTCTACCATAAAAAAGGAACGGCAAGGATTAGAGAGGCAGTGACAGGGCAGAAAGAGACAACTTGATGAAGGAGAAATAGGAACAACTGGTACACATGGGAAAAGTGAAATGCAAATTATTATTAGTAGTAGTCTTTTCAACCCAGGGTTTCTCTGTGTTGCCTTGTGTGTCCTGTAACTGTTGATGAAGTTGAGATTAAATTCAGAGACTCGCCTGTCTCTGCTTCCCATTTTTTTAAAACTAGTGAACTGATGAAAAATGCTCTGAAGTGGATGAAGCATCAGTGTTTGGCCGCAGAGAGCCTAGCAGCTGCATTTGATTCCTGGAACCCACATGGTGGGAGAGAACCAACTCCTCAAAGCTATCCACTGAGCTACCCATGCACTGCTGCAATACACACACAGTTGTACATACATACATACATTATATATATAATATATATATTATATATATTCTAATATGCATGCCCATAACACCAATAATTAATAATAATAATAAATTTTAATGGAAAAGTATCAGTGTGATACAGTATGCTGGGAAACCAGCAGTTACACACCTTACTGGCAGAGCATACTTGATAAAATGTTATAGGATGTAAATGAGAGCTTCTTCTGAAGTCTTAAAAGTGTGTTTTGCAGGTCTAGCAATTTGATATTAGAACTGTAATCTATTGAAATTAAAATAATGCAAGATATAACTATACACATTTATGGAAATTATTTCTTTTACCAGTAAATGACAAATGACTATCAAGAAAGGAATGGCTAAATATGGAACAAATCCATATTATAGAATGATAAAAGGAGTCAAATAAGTTAGGATTCATTTAAAGTAAGTTAAATAGAATTATAAGTTAGTGGGATAAAAATGAACTACATCTGTGTAAACCTGACTTTTATAGCCATCAAAATGCTCAGAGTGCATTGGTAGACTTGAGGGATGCCGGGTGATGCAGACAGTGCAGTCCTTAGGAGGCAAGGGACCAAGGACACACACTGGTGTCTATGCAGCTGAATGAGCATAGACAGTGATGCAGGAGGAAAACCACAAGTGCTACACAGTTTGCAACTGGTGAGTCCCTCAAAGACAATGTGTTAAGACTTGTTGCCTAGCTTGACGCTATTTAAAGAGGAAGAAGAGGAGCGTTCTAATCAGGACTTAGTGATGCCATGTTCAGGATGGGTGTGTTCTCAAAGGGAATGTGACTTTACCTGTCACAGCTGACCCCATCTCCTACCCCTCCTCCTTCTCTTACATCACTGTGGTCAGTCTACTGTGTCTCAAATAGGTTCGACGATCTGTGGATTCACCACAGATCTGAAGCAAAAGGGTCAGGTGATCAGCTGTTCTCTCCAACACTATGATCCTAAATCAGGCTTTTCTCTTGGGAAAGTTCATTAGCACTGTTGCTGCAGTGGTGAGCAGCTGCCAAACCTCAGCACTAACAATAACCATTCCCCCAGGAAAGAGACAAACTGAAAGATGGGGAAATTTGTTGGCTTTTACATCATATTGTCCGCATAATTTTTTGTTTATGACAGCTACAACTTCAGTGATTAAAGAAAGCCATTGATGAGAAATAAACATAAATAAAAGTTTATCTATCATGAGTTCACAATCCGCATCAGGAACAATGCAGTGTAGCCGCAAGATAATGAAAAGGCAATACATAATATGTAGCAAGAAGATTCGGGTACATTTGTGTCTATGCTGATAATACATTACACTAGAAAGGATTTTTCAAGGGCAACTATAAATAGCTGTCTCCAGCCATTTGTCTGCATCTATAAGAAAGAAACACTGCCAATTGGTCAATAGAAGCATTGCCTGGATAGTTATACGGCTTATGCTGCTCATTCAAAATGGTAACGGCAAGACTGGGGGATCAGCAAATTTGATCAGACGGTCCTGTTACCCTTCCTGCTTTAACTACAGGCGCAAGTGTGCCTTCTCATCAACTTCTTGTATTTGCAGATTTAATTTCATTTGTGTGCATTAAGAGTCTCCAATCCCACACAACAAGGGATCTCTACCATCCAGAAGTCGGTGCATAAATGAGCCTGTTCATGTTTTTTCCCTAAGATACCCAAGCCTTACTGTTCTAACCAAACTGTCATTATTTAATTTTGTGTGTACGTAGTCTAGTTTATGTAGTTGCTGAGGTATTAAAACTGAAAAGTGAACAGAGCCAATGAGATTCACCATGTACTGATAACTGAAGTGAGTTTGTTGGTACAGAAAAGTGACATCACACACATGAACAAATCACTCACGGGTTCCCACTGCCTCTGCTACTCTGAGAAGTGACTCGGAGTCTGTAAGATGTTTCCTTGTCTGATAACAACTGAAATTATACAAACAGTATGTCCCCCCAGATTCCAGGGAGCATGTTTTCATTTCCTGGATTTTGCTTGAAGACATACACTCACGCATTATTTTCTTTAAAGCAAAATGTGATTTAACGTATGCATGTCAAACAAGCCCCAAGTTATTCAGCTTCCTAGTCTAAAAGATTTTACCAGAGCAGTATACAACCTCAGTGATAGCATGTATCAATTCTATTTACTAGTCAGAGTTGGACAGCACGTCTACATAGGACTCACTAGGTTACAAGGTTACATAGTCAAGGAGTTTCTGGGTATCAGCAAGTGTAACTTCCCCACTCCTGTTAAGAAGCTCTGGATATGGGTTCAAAGTTGACTAAAAGGAGAGAGGCTGAGGAATGGAAAACCATTTAGTGAGGATGCAGGCTGTTGAGAGTGAGAACCAGCTCTCATTCCAAGCCAACTAGACTGAAGTGACAGAGAGCCAGTAGAACACCGTCCTTTCTACATGTTCACAAAGGCAGTGGCAGAATAAAAACCACCATGATGATTCATAATGGTGAATTATGTTCCAAGTCCCACCAAAAACCACAAGTATGTAGAAAAGATAATTATGCATGGGAGCCCAGTGCTGTAAAATGCTTATAAACAACTGAAGCATTTGCTCTAATCCAAAACGAACCATTTTGCAATCAATCTTTTTGTCGCAAGATGTACAGACAATTTAGGAATGATTTAGATGGTCCAGAGTCTTACAGATCTCAAAGATGTCATTATAATTTAGATCTGAAATAGTCACCAATGGTCCATGTGTTCAAGGTTTGGTTCCCAACCCAAGGCATTACTGAGGGGATAGTGGAACCTTGAATAGGGAGAGCAAATGGAAGAAAGTCACTAAGTCACCAGGGTCCCTTCCCTGCCACTTCCTGGTTGTTTCTGTATTCCACACCACCCATTGTGAGGTATACAACTGTCATGCAGTATGCACGTACCATGTTCTCCAACATAAAATATTCACACACTGTTTAGTTCTCCTGAAAGTGGACTCTGGGAGAAGGAGGGTGATGGGGGATATTGTGACTGTATGTTTCTTTTAGTAGTTGATGCATATAGCTGTTTTGGCCAGCAGGCAGGCAGAATTTAGCTAGGCACGTATTCTGAACAAAGAGGCAGAGAG